ATCAGATTTAAAAATCAATAGTTAATTCTGCATCCGCTGTTGTTTGTGGAAGGGCGTTCCAAACATCTACCAATCTTTCAGTGTAGAAGTGCTTCCTAAGCATAGGAAATAGAAACAGGAGTAAGCTGTTTGGCCCCTCAAGCCTAGTCCGCCATTCAAGAGGAATCATGGCTGATCTGACATTCCTCACATTCACTTTCCTGCCCCTTCCCTGTAACGCTTGATTCTCCGACTAATCAAGACTTTATCTTAGCCTTAAATATATACAAGGACTCTGTCCCCACAGCTCTCCATGGCAAGGAACTCCAATAACTCTCATCCCTCAGAGAGGAAATTCCTCCTCATTTCAGTCTTAAATTGGTACCTCTTTATTCTGAGACTTTTCCCTCTGGTCCTGGACTCTCCCATGAGGGGAAACATCCTCTCAGCATTTATCCTGTCAAGCTCCTTAAGAATCCTAGCTGTTTCAGGAGATCACCTCTCATTCTTCTAAACTCCAGTGAATAGAGTCCCAACCTGTTTAACCTTTGATCATAAGGCAATCCCTGCAGACCAGGGATCATCCCAGTGAACCTTCTCTGAACCGCCACCAATTAAATGATATTCTTCCTAAAATAAGGGGACCAAAACTGCTCACAGTACTCCAGATGTGGTCTCATCAGCACCTTGTACAGTTGCAATAAGATTTCCCTAATCTTATACTCCAACCCCCTTGAAATAAAGGCCAAATTCCATTTGCCTTCCTGATTACCTGCTGCCCATGTGCTAGATTTCTATATTTCATGCACAAATAGCTTCAAGTCTCTTTGTGTTGCAGCTTTCTGTAGTTTTTCTCCATTTGAATAGTATTCGGTTCTTCATTCTCCCTTCCAAAATGAACAACTTCACATTTTTCCACATTATACTTCATTTGCCAACTTTTCTGCATTCACTTAACCTAACAATATCTCTAAACTGTTTGTAGTCCTTTCGCAACCTGCCTTTCCTCCCACATAGAACATAGAACATAGAACATTACAGCACAGTACAGGCCCTTCGGCCCTCGATGTTGCGCTGACCTGTGAAACCAATCTGAAGCCCATCTAACCTAAACTATTCCATTATCATCCACCTTTGCACTGTCCGCAAATTTGGCACAGTACATTCACTTCCTTCCTCCAAGTCATTAATATATATTGTAAACAGTTGCGGTCCCAGATCTTAATGATCCCTGTGGTCCCAACATCTCTCCTGACGGACTCGCCCTAATGCCCAGTCTATACCCTCTAGATCTAGAATCCCCAGCCAGTGGAAATAGTTTCTCTTTATCAACCTTGTATTTTTCTGTTAGTATCTTGAAGACTTCGATCAGACCACCTTTAATCATCTAAATTCTAGAGAAAACAGGCCTACTTTTGTGTAAAGTCTTCTCACAACTTAAAGAGTTAAGTCCAGGTATCATTCTTGTAAACATACGTTATACTCCCTCCAAGGCCAGTATATTCTTCCTATGATGGGTGCCCAGATCCAGAAGTCTCAATCCCGAGCTATTCTGATCAACCTTTTAAATTTTTGCAGCTTCAAATCTCACTCCAGAACCTTCAGCACAAAGTCTAGGCTGACAATCAAATGTAGCACTGTGAGTGCATAGTATTATCAGAAGTATTTATGCATCCCTCAATCGACATTGTACAAACAGATTATTTGCTCATTATCACCTGACCATGTGAAAATTGTCTGTCACTTTTCTATACTACAATGGTGACTAACTTCACGAAGCAAAATACTACAGATGCTGGAAACAAAAATAAAAATACTCAGAAGCAGAAATAACAGTTATCCGTGGCCTTTCATCAGATTGAAGGAATGGCCCTGGAACCTGCCTACTATTTGCAAAATATTGTGTTTTCACTGAAAAAGTACTTAACTGTTTATGAAGTGTTTTGGGACGTGCTGAGGCCGTCAAAGTGCTAAATGGTTTCAGATTATTTCTTTTAATGTTCGGAATCAAAAAAAAATTACGGTTGATTTATAACACCAGTATGCATGGAAAAATGTCAATGGAGAGGTTAAATTATGAGGAGGGATGATCCAATTTCTTCCCTCACAAGGAAAAGAATCTGTAGAATTCTTTACTACAGATGGCTGCGGAGGCTATGCCATTAAGTATATTCAAGGTTGAGGATTACAGCTTTTTAATCAGCAAGTGATACAAGGTTTCTGGGGTAAGGCAGGAAAATGGAGTTGAGGATTATCAGATTAACCACGAATTCGTCGGACTAATGGATCAGACTTGATGGGCTGAATGGCCTGCTTTTGCTTCTCTGTATTATGGTCTACAAACTAAAGTTGAATTGCCTGGAATATAGAAGGTTAGCATTGATTTGATCAAGGTATTAAGGGCTATTTCCCCTGGTTGGGGAATCTAAGACTGGGAAGCATTGTCTAAGATTGGGCCACGTCAGAAGTGAAGTTACAAAACACACCCACTGACTCAGCACCAATTGGACAATCAGCTTTTCCAATCTGCCAAAGTCAGTTATTTCACATCATAATCTCATCTTCAGGGTTGCTGGTTTACACAAGATAAAGATTAAATTGGTAGTATTGTGAACCTTTTATCCTACCATTCTGAAGGAGGTCTGGACTGGAAACTTCAACTCTTTTTTTTCCTCCACACATGCTGCCAGACCTGCTGAGATTCTCCAGCAATTTCTGCTTCTGTGTGTTTTTATTATCCCACCTACTGAACTCTCTTTAAAACCATCCGAAGTTCAGATTCCCGAAGCAGTTCCAATCCTGTGCTATTCATATCAACTTTTTAAAAGTTCTTTTTGTGCCTCAGCAGTGACACAAAGGGAGAAGTCTGGAACTTTCTTCTGCAAAAACACTAAGCCGTCTGTTCATTTTAAATTCATGACTGATAGATTATGGTTATCCAAAGATATGAAGGGATATCGGGCAAAGATCAGCCAAGATCTTACTGAATAGTGGATCAGGGTCAAGAGGGTAAAAGACCTACCATTTTTCTATGTCTGTAAGAGATTTTGTAAAAATGACTACCCACTGTAAATCTATATTACCAGCACTAATCACACGGTTAGTCATTATGGTACTCTTACTGCCCGGAACAGGGCAGGATCAGATTCAGCTGTAACTTCATGGTCAAATATCCCATGTCAGTCACTGTCCAAGATGAAAGGATGGTCACTAAGTGTGCAATTCAGAAAGCATCCTTGTGAAATTCTCACTTCAGTCACATTTAATCTCAACAGTCTCTCTCCACCTTCCCCAATGAGAAGGTCTTGCTCCTCAGAAACCACAACACATAAAAAAGATGAGCAGGGAAAGGTCATCTTGGTCCTTCAAGCTTGCCCCACGTGGTCACTATTGCTAGAATGCCATGACTAGGCTGTATTCTCCCCAGCAATGCATCATCCCACACAAAAACATTAAATTCCAATTTTGAGAAATTACAACTTTTGGTATAAAACGGTAATTAGTTGAACATGTTTATAATGTTGAAAAAATTTCTAGCATGTAGATTGAGGAAATTGTTTCTTATTGTGGAGGACTCCTGACACGGAGCGACGACTTATCACTAACCCGAGTGCTAAGAAGTTCACGGGTGCTATCAGGAAGCATTTCTACACACAAAAGGAGTAGCCCACCACCATCCCCGAAGAAAAATCAGATGATGCTAGGAGTCAACTGAAAATGTCACAATGTGATATTGAAGGATTTTCGTGGAACTGGCATGTTAAGGGACACGTATTCGAGACAGGAATATAGTGTTAAGATTCAGAGCAGTCAGACTCCACATTCAGGGCTAATCTGACTGTAACCTCAACTCCACTTTCTCCTCCATCACCTCTTACTTCACTTGTCAATCACGAATTTCATCATTTGACTGCATAGCGATTAACACCCGAGGGGGTTGAATGGACTACTCCCCTTTTCATGTTTGTAGGATAGATTCTTGCTCCCCAAATCCCTCTTGGCGAACCAGATCTAATTCAAGAGGCCGCTATAAGCACGCACACATTATCTGCTGCTTTCCCCACCTTTAATAAGGTTGAATCACTGTCTCAGACGGGATATGCATCTGGATCATTGGAAGAGCGCAGTTTAACCATCACACACATTCCTATCTAGGTGATTCAGGAATATAACATCTAGAAAAACACGTAGCCTAACATCCTGGCAAGGCTGGGAGCAGGACTCTTCGGACTCAATCTGCATGCCCAAGATGGCCTACAACTAACCATTACAGAATGTGCCATTTCAATAGGACAAAACCGGCAGAGAAAGTTTGGCGAGAACGCGAGATGAGAATCCGACTTGTTCAACTAAGTCTCTCTCGCTCCCTAAATTGAAAATCAGATAGATGAGGCATCATCTTAAAATGAAACAAGACAAAATTGACAGGCAAACCCTATCGTTCTCACTTAATAGCCAACTCCGGAAGCAATTACATAACTTGCACAGAAAACGATTACCGCTAAAATTCCAGCGGAACGACACAAAAACTTCTGGTTCCTAGTGAAGAAAGGTTGCTCCTTTAAAGACACCATTCGGCGAGAAGTCCTTAAATTAAGCAGTGATTTTTAACGACACGAATCACAGAACAGCAACACCTAAGCTAAACTCTCCTCAAACGTCCATCTAACTTCCTCATTTAGATAACTGCTGATTCTGAAATCTTTCTAGCACACAGAAACGAACGTTAGGCCACTTAAGGGATTGGATTACATGTATGTGAGAGTGTGTATGTGTGTGTTGGGGGTGTAGGGGTAGGAAGTATGGTCCAGTTTAAGGATTTCAGCTTTTGAGAGATTTATGTGCTCCTATGACTGCCCGAGTTCAGATTCATCCGCGGTCGCGGTCGCCTATTCTTCCCGCTTGAGCGAGGATCCAAACTGGGAATTTTACTGGCTAAGTTCAGAAGAGCGGGACTGACAAACTGGCTATGCCTCGCTATACCACAGGATGTCAGCTCCTGTGAAGCCACATTGACTTACCAGTAGTGTAGATGTTTGCCTGCAGACGCCTGAAGGTAACCGGACCACTGCCTGAAGTTTAAACGGGTGCTCAGACCAGGTAAGTCCAGGACTTCATCTGGGGAGTAATAGCCGAAGCAGCTCCGGACACATAGCAACAGCAGACACCACCTCATTGTTTTTGCCGAACGCTGGAAGAATACTACAGGAGTGTACAGCTAAACTCTGGAGGCTCCTCATATGACCGACTCAGATTAAAATGATCACATGATCGGTAGTAAAGAAGACATTCACGAAAACGGAGGCGGCGCATAACATTCAGCAACTCAGTTAACCCTAAACCACTGAGAGGAGTTGGAAACCGAGATTACAGAGACGCTCTGGAATAGAGAGAGAGAAAATGATGGGTCTTGAACGAGAGAAAGAAAGCTAAACGAGAGAGACAGATAGACAGCGTGACACCCCGGATGAGTGAGAGAGAAAGAGAGAGACAAGTAGACACTCGGCCTCCAGACTGGGGTAGATAAGAGATAGAGATAACTGGGTGGAAGAGAAAGAGAGAAAACTGGGTGGAAGAGAGTGAAACACCTGAAATGGTGGAGGGGGGGAATAGAAAGAAAGCTGGATAGGACAGATTTTAGCATTGGGCGACTGCGTGGCGTTTGCACATTCTCTCTGTGTGGGTTCTGCCAGGTGCTCACGTTTTCTCCCACAGAAGGGTAGGTGGATTGGCCATGGGAAATTGACTAGTAGTGCCCAGGATGTGCAGGCTAGGTGGGTTAGCCTTTTACTGTACTACAGTCAGTGGTAATTGAACCAGCTGCTTTGCATAGCAGACTGGAACTGAAGTTGTAGTCTTAATGTGTAAAGGTTCCCCGTTATAGGTTCTCAGTCTAGCTGAGATCTTACACAAACTTAAAGGTTGGAGTCCAGAGTGAATTTCGTTAAAGACTGGTTCTGTGATCACTGAAATGGCTGCACTGGTATCAACCGTCATTAGAGCCCAGTGACCATTTAACCAGATGTTTATTTTGATTGGTTCTGTCTTGGATGTTGCCGAACAATTTAACTGTTCCAACCCAGATATAGGTGGACTTTCCAGGGTATGCACTCTCCTGGATACCAGCCTATGAGTTCTCTTACTGAACTTGGGTCTAGTGGGATCTTTTTGCTGTCTCGAGTACACATACCAGCAGCAACTACAACAGCTTGGTGGCCCAGATCCTGAAGAAAATTTTAACTGTTTGGCAGAGGCTTGGCTTTATTTTGGCTGTGGGCTGACTTAGAGACCCTCTATTCAGGATATGTCCTGAGTAAGGCTGTGCAACTACCTTCACTCAAGTGGTGTTCCCCAAGTTCAGATTGATTAGCGAGGGTGTCCGCTTACATCAAAATATCCTGTAACTCATATGCGCCACTTGCCACATTTTTCAATGACAAAACCAGTTGTAGTGCCTGTTTGAAGTCCAGTTGGGCTTTAGTTAGTAGGTGCTTTTGCGTAGTTACATCATTAATGCCACACACCAAACAGTCTCTCAGCATTTCAGTAAGGGTTAAACCAAAGTGAATGCCTCTGCAACAAAAACAGAAGTTTCAGCAAGTCTGACAGCATCTGTGAAGAAAAATCAGAGTTATGTTTGCTTGTCATTTTAACCTAGTCAAAAATCCTTATATGGATTCCCCTGGTTCTCCAATTGCTGAGTAAAACCGATCCATTGCAAACCGACAGTGTGGAAATGGGCCATTTGGCCAAACAAGTCCACACCAACTCTCTGAAGAGTATTTCACCCAGAAACACCTCTCTACCTGATCCCTGTAGCCCTGCATTTCCCATGCTAACCCACCTAACCTACACACCCCTGGACACAATGGACAATTTAGCATGGCCAAGCCACCTAACCTGATGGTTCCTCAGAATTAGAGGAGACTTGGGATCATAATATCCCTTAACTAAATCCATCAACTGTTGAAAGGTTTTAGTATCTGGTCCCTCAAAGAAAATTATGTTCCTAATAGCTGAAAAAGCTGAGGGTCCACAAGTTGTCAGAAGAATTCCTCATATTTTTTCCAGGCAGATGAAAAACAAACACACTCTTTCCACATAGTGGCCCCAGTCTTCAACAGCAGGATCATATGAGTCAAGCTTCCCAAATAATGGCATGATGCTAAAAATGCTTACCCCAACTCAAAGAGTTGCGGATTTAAATTCAATGACAATCTATTAAAGTTCATGTGTAATGCCCATGGAGTACTGCATATGTAAATTGTCAGCAAAATTTCAAATAAACTGCATTGTGAACTCCTGTGATTGCAAGGATAATGAGGGGCTGATGACACCCTGCTCAACAGCAACTGCAGAAACATTTTTTTGCTTTTCCCTTTGAAGAACACACAAGGACAGGAAGTCAACAGCCAGTTTTAAATGTACTGGAGTGGACTTGCAGCACTGAATGCTTTTGTGTGTACCATCCTGGGTTTGAGCATTAGTGTGCTGTGATTATAGTGGGTGTGTTCTTCTATGGGTATTACACAAGACTGTGCCAGATATTCACTGAATTTAAATCAGACTTTTGTAGCAGTCCTCTTTTTAAAAATGACAATTCAATTAGAAGTAAAAATATTTATAAACACTTTGGCATTCTGATGCATCATCATAACAATTGAAAGACTATCTCCGAGGTAAAGAAACAGTTTCTCACTCCTAGTGCTGCAAACCATTAAGAAAAGGAATCTAGACAAAGGAACTTCCATCAGTTTGAACAAAGCAGAATCTCAAAAGTCAATCATTCAATTATCAATGTTAATGCTATCTGTAAACTCTTTTGCAACAGCCACAATGTTCAACTGTCCATTCCTCATGAACAATTCAGGGACTGGCCCATATATATGCTTTTTAAACTTTTATCATTTTTGACATGCCTTGTTTCTAATCCATGTGCTTGTGTTTTATGTTACCAGTTCTTCTCACATTTACTAATTATCTTTCTTGCAACCAACTGAATGAAGATGAGCCAGTTTCTCTTTCCTCACCTTGGAACTTAACAGTTTGGGTTATCCCGTCTGGAACAGTAATGAGTTATTAGAGTCAGTCATACAGCTTGGAAACTCACTTTTTGATACAACCAGTCCACGCCAACCATGTTCCCAAACCAAACTAGACCCACTTGCCTGTGTTTGGACCATATCACTCCAAATCTTTCCTATTCTTGTACTTTGTACAAATGTCTTTTAAACTTTGTAACTATACCTTCATGGTATAGTTCCTCATGTCCTTTTCAAATTTTCTTCTCACCTTAAAAATATGCTGCCTAGTGTTGAACACCCCCATCCTAGGGAAAAGACCACTGCTATTCACTGTATCAATGCCCCTTTATAAATCTCTGTAAGGTCACCCCTCAACTTCCTACGCTCCAGCAAAAAATATCTCAGCCTATCTTTATAACTCAAACCCTCCATTCCCTGCAACATCCTGATAAATCTGTTCTGAACCCTCTCCAATAATATCCTTTCTATAGCAGAGAAACCAGAATTGTACACAGTACTCCAGAAGAGGCCCCAACAATGTCCTGTACAACCTCAACATGATGTCCTAACTCCTATACTGAAAGGTCGGAGTAATGAAAGCAAGCATGCTAAATGCCTTCTTAACCACTGTCCACATGTGATGCAAATTTCAAAGAATTATGTACCTGAACCCCTAGGTCTCTGTTCTACAACACTACCCAGGGCCCTACCATTAATTGTATAAGTCCTCCCTTGTTTGTTTTACCAAAATGCAATACCTCACATTTATCCAAATTAAACTACATATGCTACTCCTCAACCCATTGAGCCAATTGATCACGATCCCTTTGTAATCTTAGATAACGTTCTTCAGTGTCCACTATATCACCAATTTTAGTGTCATTCTCAAACATACAAACCATGTCTCCTAAATTCACATCCAAAACATTTGTATAAGTGATGAACAAAAGTGGACACCAGTAACGATCCCTGTGGAACACTGCTCATCACGGGTCTCCAATCTGAAAAACAACCCTCCTCTACCAAGCTCTGTCTCCTACCATCAAACCAATTTTGTAGCCAAGCGGCAAGCTCACCCTCAATCCCATATCCTTGGTGAACTTCTGCAATGCAACAAGTAGATGGTATAGATGCTGTTACTGAGTGTTGGCAGTGAAGGGAGTGGATGTTTGTGGATATGGCACCACTCATCCAGGTAAGTGCACAGTGTTCCAACACACTCCCCACCTGTGCCCTGTAGATGGTTGGCAGGATTTGGGGAGTTACTCACTGCAGTATTCCTTGCACCTATTTATATGACTAGTCCAGTACAGTTTCTGGTCAATGGTATCCACCAGAATGTCGACAGTAGGGAATTCAGTATTATCACAGGATGTGATACTTGTAGTGTACAAGGTGGTACAACTATTCCAGACAACAGATAGAACATTATCAACCAGGCATTGTGGTCAAGTGGCAACTACTGAGCTTTGTAAGGCACCTTCTCTCGGTGTCTGCAGGAATTCCTCTTCAAAGCTTCTGACCAAACTGTGGAACTATGGACATGAATTTCACTGCTTGGCAACTCCAAGAGAAATACTGGGAACAATGCCAACCACTCGATATGGCCTTCATTGATCTGATCAAGGCTTTTGACTCCGTCAATCAAGAAGTGTTATGGAAGATCCTGTCAAAGGTCAGTTATCCATTGAAATTCTTCAACATCCCCTGTTTCCTCCATGACAAGGTGTCAGCGATGGTCCTCATCGATGGTAGTACGACAGAATTCTTTGAGGTCAAGACAAAGATCAAGTAGTGATATGTTATCATCCCCACCCTTTTCTCACCTTCATCGCCACCATTCTTCATCTTGACAAGAACAAGATGAAAAACATTTCAACTTCAACTAGTTAAAATCCAAGAAAATGACACCAACCTTGCTTGTGGAGCTTCAATATGTGGATGACATCATCCTTACTCTCTCAGAAGAGAATCTTCAAGCCTCGCTTAACACCTTCGCACAAGCATACCAGAGTTGGTCTCAGTCTCAACCTCAAGAAGACAAGTCCTTTACCAGCCTGTCCCTAGACAAGTTCCTATCCACCCTGCCATTAAGATAGATGGAGAAATCCTCCCAAACATGGAACATTTTCCCTACAAAGGGAACTATTTCTCACCTCAGGCTGACAGCAATACAAATATTCAACATCACACGCAGCGAGCCTGCTTTCTGATGCCTAAGGATGAGAGTCTTTGATGACCACGACATCCTTGCTGATGCCAAGATTCTTGTGTAAAGAAGAAACTTT